ACAGTTACCATCCATAGATAAATTTCGAATTCACACTTCTTACCATGGGATAAAAAGTGACCTTTTTTAGAGATTACAACTTCAGTGGGCGACCAACCAACGGGGTATGTAGTTTTGGTGCTCATTTGCTGACCGCGTGATTCGTATCTAGGTTGTTCTTCTTGTGGGATGTAACCGTCCTTTACTCTTCTTGCCTTTCTCCACGTTCCATCAGCACGTTGTGAAGCTGCTATATATGTTTCACCTAAAATGTGCTTTTTCTTACAAAAAGCAAAAGGATTATCGATATAAGCCAGTGCAATTCCCCATTATTGCAAGGAACGAAAAGTACCATTTGAAAACTATGTGTCTAAACAGTAAACCTAGTCAACTCCTGCTGCAAATACTCCGACTAAATGGACTTATATATGCTGCAGTTAATCATAGATAGAGGAAACTTAAGCACCGTACTGACTCACCAGTTTTAGTCTTTATACGAACATCTCCAACGAAACCTTTTGATGACATAGTAACATGTATCCCTCGAAAAGACCGATGAATACAGGTATCACAATCCAATACCTGAAAGGTGAGATGTTGGGAATAATACAAACCTTCTTCTCAGATTCCTAAGCCTTGTAAACTGCGTCATTTAACAATGAGTCAAAAAAAAAAATCAGGAAAAATTTCATATCAAGAATATCCTCTCCATTTTTTGAGTTCTAATATTGAAAATGGAGACGAGTGGATATTGTTAGTGCATTCGTCCGTCAATAATAAAAGCAACACTTCCCTTGAAAAACAAGTCATAATAGGAAAATATAATAAACCGGAATGTATTTACCCATCTATTCATCCATCCACAGAAAGAAAATGAACAAAATGACTTCTGAATTAGTATGCACCAAGTGCAAACTTTATTCCCCGTACGACATGCAAAGAACATGAAATAAAGAAAAGTGAGAAAAAAAAGAAAACAAAAAACCATAAATTAGAGTAAACCATGAACGATCCTAACGTAGGAATCATTTTGTCTTACCCATGCTACACATTTTCATAGGAAAGCATTTGATGCAATGTGACAAAATACACGTAAAACGTGTAAATTTACAATTACTGATATCACTATTTTGCGAAATTTCATAACCAAAATACACACGTAAGAATATACATCGCCTTGATTAGCAGGAGTTATTAGTTGTTAAAATCAACAAGATAACATATTCATTTTCCTTTCCGCCCCAGTTTAATGAAGTTACTGGTAACACAGACGATTATACACTGTTACAGGAACAGCCTTGCTGAAGACGTCCTGTGGTAGCTTTGTCTCACATTTTGGTTTGGAACCACAGTGATTTGCGAAATAACAACACAACGTGCCACAGTTCGAAAACAACAGATAATGAAGCAAATGTATAATTTATACAACATCATCATCGAAATTCTTGAATTTCGTATTTTCAATTTCGCACTTAATAGAATATATAATCACAGATCTATACGAATATACAATAAATAAAAGTAAATGAAGCAATAAGAAACAAAAAATATAGCAGCAACTCAACGTACGTAGAAATGGATATACAGGAACAAATAAAAGTACAATGTGATCAGAAAGAAGATGCAAAAGAGGAGAAACAAAGCTAATGTGAAAATTTTTCATGCAAATCAATTCATAAGCTCCTCAATAAACATGGAGCAAGAAGGAATTCGAAATGCACCCACAAACACTGATGACCACGTAATAAGTTCTACAAGTGAAAAAGTTTAAAAAACATCCCGGATGTTTTCCCATAGTAGAACACGATCAAAAACAGACGTGTATTCCTTTAGAAAATAAATTCATAAATCACAAAGAGAATGAAAAATGCTATAACTTCCGCTTCACCCGAATTTAAGCAAATATCTTAAAATGAAGAAAAATGACAGAATGAATATCCTGGATACCTAATGAAAACAATGAAAGTTAAGAACTTGTAGCAGCTGTTAGCACGGGACGGCTTAACGATCTACACTATTCATCTCTTTCGCTATAATGACTAGTAATCACAAGCAATTTTCAGAGTTTTTCTCTTAAAAAACTAGTTTTCATAAATCCCATACATAAAATCTAAGCTGCAAGTATTTCCCGACCTGAATTTACTTGGTAATAGCCACTTTAATTCATACTTGATAAAAAGACAAAAAAGAAATTAATAAATACCCTTTCGTCAGTCTATCAAATCAGGATTGATCACATCGCATCGATCTCCACGACAATGTGGGCAATACCACTTACCTTTCGGTTTCTGCCTCAATTGGACACATGGAAAATGATACCACTCGTTACATTTTTTATTTTCACAAAGAATCATATCACCATAAGAAACCTAAATAAATTTAAATTATGCAAAGGAGAGGAAGATGGCAAATTTGCATTAAAATAATGTGGCATCGGACGAAAAAAAAATAAGATGAAGTCTGTTTTTTCATTGTATTTATGATGTAAAAAAAAAAAATTTCTTTTAAAAAAAAGTTAAAAAAATAATGATATATATACACACTTACTTGCCGACAGAGACAATACAAGGGATCGAGATTATTTTCGTCCTCTGCTGTTTCTGCTATAGCAGAAGTTGCTTGGCGAGGTTTCCTCGGCAAACGCGGTCTTCCTGCACCGCGTTTCTTTTGCATCGAACGCCCCTCACTCATTTCCGATACTTTTATTTTCCTGCGACGTCCTGATAAATACTAAACAGGAACAATTCAAAAATCAAGAATTCAAATTTAATTTTGGATGATGCTAAAGAAAATGTTAATAGAAAATTACGAATCCCAACTTTTAACTTGAAAATAAAGTAAAATTCGACATTATTATGTAAACAAGAAAGCTTACTTATCAAAAAAAATGGCTCCAGTGATCTAATAAGACTATTGCTCAATGAAATTTAACTTACGTGATGGTTCATTTTCAACTAGCAATGACCAGGCACTATCACCCACACAGACCTAATCATTAAATGTAAAAAAAGCTTTACAGTGGAATCTTCATGCATACACAATAGTGACTTATTAAAGGAAAAGAGAAAAAAAAATTTTTTTTGAAAGTAGACTACTCAGACGAAAAATTTTAGAAATAAATGTCAACCTGATCTGATACTGCCGGTGGAGAAGGAGAATCTTTTCCCTTTCCTTTTACGACAGATTGGGATCGTGTGTCTCTTTCAATCCGACGTATATTTTCTCTTGGAGCATGACGTTTTGATCGAGGCCCTTTTGGCTTGGCTACCGGTTCTAAAGAAATGACATTTCGTAGTAATTAACGGATTAAAATTTATACATAAACTTATACAGTAAATGCAAGAAACATTTAATAATCGAAACCGGTATTATTATGGATGAGTGAATAGCTGTGAGAACGAAGAATAATTGTATCGTCATATCTTCTAACTTTCTTTTTTTAGAACAAATTAAATTTTGAACCAAAATCGCTAAAAAGACCGCAAAATCACAGCATCAGCTTTATAACGAAAGCATTCATGCTAGGATAAATGCGATCATGATATTAAACAGGCAGGATAGTTATTTTTAATGAAATTTGAAGAAAATTCATTGAAGTAAATTTTTTCTCCCTCTCTTTTTCATCTTTTGGTCTTGTTTTTCTTATCTTTTCACTTTTCGATCCCATCATTTAATTTCTCTTGCTTTCTAATTATAAGTCCACTGACTTCTCCCTCTTCTCTTTCGCATTGCTACCTTCTGCGCCTCTCCCTTTTCGACAACAGATTCTAAATTGATGATAATTCCTATTCAATCATTTCGAACTGAGCTATCCAGCATTTTAAATTGCAAAATTGAATTTCTTTCGAGAAAAAAGAAAGCATAACACAAAGCATCTTTGCAATCAATGAAAAGTTATCTTCTCTATTTCCAAATTTGGCAGTGTTTCCCAGTCACAAATTTTTCACTTAAAACAGCTCACGCTTGCTTTGTTGCGGATCAGTTTGTCGACCAATCAAGTTTTGCAACTTCGTGTCTACGTCAAACATGACGCCTGACTTCCAAAATGCTAGGTGTTGCGCCATACGTAGCTCGTTTTCCAAGGTATCAAACATTTCATCAACTTTTTCGCGACTCATTTCCATCTTAAAATTTACAGATAATAAAAGTTTTTCATTTTCAACCAGATTAATATACTATTAGGTAAAAAACGAACAAAATCTTGTTTTTATGAATAACTGATATGGTTCAGCTTTATCGCAAGGAACAAACTTGAAGAACAAAGAAAAAAAATTCACATTTGCCTTGAAAATACAAAAGAAAATCTGATCTTATGAAAAGAATTTATTATTTTACTTCGTAAACGGAATACTAACCAGTCCTTCATTTAAAGTAACCTGAATTCTCTCTACTTCTCGCATGACCGCTTGGTAGACGACATCTAATTCAGTCATTTTTTGCAGCGGCTTCTGAATTTCCTTTATATTTAAGGTCGGAAAAAATACTGAATATCAAACTATGCAAATCGAATAATTTAAGACGTCATAAGACAAAAAAAGCATGATTCAGTAGGAAAAAGATGACCTTTTGTTCCACAAATTCGCCGGTAAAATCAAAAGTAAAGTTACAGCATATCTTTTAAATAACATGTACAACACAACTATGCTCGGTACTGAACTAAAATTGCATCAGTATACAGGCAAAAAGGCCAAAGTAACAGTGTTGGTTAACGACTGTAAATTTTAACGATCTGGTAACATTTGTTACTAGTCTAAACAATCTATAGTTGCATTTCTGTACCGAAGGACTGTCATTCCTCTCCTTAAACCTTTACTGATATCTTCAATTGTAGAAAACTCTCAATATCTAAAACTCCAACCTGGACTATATCTACTGCATCAAATAGGCGTTTAACGAGATCTTTCGCATTAGGCGGCACACTGTCGAACCCTTCATAACTTGTAGACGGCTTAATTCCATCCATCTTAAACAATCTTATCTCACCATATCTCGACACAACTGGACATTTCACAAAAACTGAAAATAAGCAAATCACAATAAACCATGAAACTCGATACATTAAATTAATTAGTCATTGCATACAAACATATAAAATAGTGACGGTCCTTAATCCCAAATTTAATCTCGCCAACATAATGAGATAAAAACGACCGTAGCAATGACATATGCTAAAGGCTAATCCTAGAAAATCTGAAGTGATCCAAGAAGAGACTTGATTACACTCTCCCGTCTGAGATCAGATCGCCTACATTCTATACGAGTGCTGCAAGAATTACGTAGAACGGTAGAAGAAACGTTATTCTGAACCATTCCAAAAGTAATGCAATAGGAGAGCGAAGCTACAGTGACTAGCAGATCGATACACTCTATGACCAACTACTGAGATTGATTCTAGAGAGGAAAGAAGCTGAACAAAATAATATGGTTAATGTATCATTACAAATCAAAAAAAAGAGAGAAAAAACTACTAGTAAGTAGCAAAATTTGGAGGCAACTATTCGAGAATTTCTCATCGGTATCGACAGATTTTAAAAGAATTATGAACAGTAACAGTACTTAATAACATTCAGAGAAATGCTAATATCGGTTAATCTACCCAACGAATTTCTCAACTCATTGAGTAACTTTATCCAAATCCGCCACCTCTATTCGGTATGAAATATCGCAAATAGTATTTGCACCCTGACCCAATCTTGGTGCGCTACAGCCATCGGGTGCCCAATGAAAAAAATTCATCTCAATGTTACTTGGTTATACAAAAAAATTAGAAATGGTGTCGGCTGTTCACGGCCACATCAGTTATTCACAAAAGTAAGGTTTCGTTTGTCTTTCAGACTAATGATGTATCAAGTTAGCTGATAGTTACTGATTTTAACAATATGTGAAATTGAAGATTCGCAGATATCGCAGCGTGAATGCTTCTGTCATAAAGCTGGTGCTGTGACTTTTAAAGTCTTTTTAGCGGTTCGTTTCTGACAGATTTTTCCTTTCATTCTGCTACATTTAAACTAAATCCTGATTAATTCCCTGCCCAACATTTTTCTAAATAGCACCAACTCTTTGTCTAAGAGAACGGTCATTTCATGATTAATGGTGAAATATAGATAAAAGCGTGACACTTCTGATTCATTCATCGATCATTTCGAGAAATACCATGTCAACAAAAGGTTTCGTTGGAGATGTTCGTATAAAGACTAAAACTGGTGAGTCAGTACGGTGCTTAAGTTTCCTCTATCTATGATTAACTGCAGCATATATAAGTCCATTTAGTCGGAGTATTTGCAGCAGGAGTTGACTAGGTTTACTGTTTAGACACATAGTTTTCAAATGGTACTTTTCGTTCCTTGCAATAATGGGGAATTGCACTGGCTTATATCGATAATCCTTTTGCTTTTTGTAAGAAAAAGCACATTTTAGGTGAAACATATATAGCAGCTTCACAACGTGCTGATGGAACGTGGAGAAAGGCAAGAAGAGTAAAGGACGGTTACATCCCACAAGAAGAACAACCTAGATACGAATCACGCGGTCAGCAAATGAGCACCAAAACTACATACCCCGTTGGTTGGTCGCCCACTGAAGTTGTAATCTCTAAAAAGGTCACTTTTTATCCCATGGTAAGAAGTGT